GTGTAGGGTTTATACTCTGCTCGAATGTGTTCTGCTCTATTTACTTGTCATTCCATGCTAGGATTTGAACCACTTGATTTATGAATAGCTCATTGCTGTTGAAATAAAATTAAAGTGGCTGTTGCAGTTATTTAAGAGGCAATTAAATTTGATTTCATTCTTATGTAGTGTCTGCTATGAAAATGCATAAAACTTGGTGTCTGCGGATGGAATTCAGATTTCTGAAATGTTTAGCGTTTAATTTTCTTGATAATCCATAATCTACGCTCCTGGGACTTCCGAGTAGGTGTTCAATTAAAATCTCGTAGCAATGAGTTAGGTACTGGAAGTACAGTAAGAAAATATGGCAGCTGTTCTGTGTTCAATGGTCTTGAGCCCACCTTTAAACATGACGGCTTGTTTAGAGAGAGGTAATAAGCCAGGACAAAAGTAGTTTCTGCCTGGGTCTTTCAGAAAGTACTGTGGATCTGACTTCTCTTAGAAAGTCAGCAAAGATGGATAAATAGGTTGTGACGTTGAGCCTGGGCCTGCAGATCCCTACAGGAATAAATGATTCGTGCAGGAAAATGCCAGCTCTCCCATCTGAGAATGAATAGACCCGTGCCATGATACTGCAGAGCTGTGGTCCCACAGGGGCAAGCACAGCCCAAAATGCGAATGATATCAGAAAGTGCTGCGTGTGAGCCCCACAATCTTTGTCTTTTGTTAGTACTAAGCCCAGTAAATGATGAGTAGGCAGTGGTTTCCGTGCATGTGCCAATTAAAATATTACTTTGGACTGCCACGCTTCTTATCACAGGAAGAAAGGAGAAATTTCCGTGAATTATGTGCGCGCTGGGTGCGTGTCCTGATTTTTGTTGCTGGCAAGTGGAGGGTTTGAGAATATTTTGTTGTTGAAAAGCAAATTAGTTTTCCTGGCTTGTATTTTTTTAAATAACTGAGTCAAGTATGAGCGTTCCACATTTTTATTTCAACTCACTGAACAAGTTTACACATGCAAGCATTCAGAGTTGCAGTGTCTCTCGGGAACACCTGGATGGTGGAGAAAATGATTTGTTCCATCTCCAAAGGCATAGTGAGATCCCTTTAACTAGTTTATGCACGTGGCACTGAACATAAGATGATGAAGAGCTCGAAAGGCAGTGCGTCCAGTATTTCCAACTCGTGGGCATGATCGTGCATCGAGAAGTTTAGCGTTGGTTAAATCTCTCCTTTAGGACATACTGCAAAGGAAGTATTGCATACATTTGTCCTTCAGCCCCCTGCACGTTTATCGGAACCAAAATGAAGCAGGAGAAGCTTCCCAGGATAACTCATTTCTGGTTGAGTGATTGATTTTCAGTCTCCCAGTCCTGTGCCTGTCTCTCACTGACTCACTGTGCAATGTGGGGCAGATGACTTGGCATCTGACACAGGCTTCTCCCCCTTCGGCACAGCCAGCAGCAAAGAAAGGAGCAGGCCCCGACTCCACGCCTGCGTTTTGCAGTCTGGGGGGTTGACGGGCTCAGCTCCTCCTGCCTTCACGCCACTCATCATTGCGGGCCTCCGCTTCCCCAGCTATCCCGCACGATACCCCTTCGGAGTGTGAAGGATTATTTCATTAATGCTCCAAGGCTTCAGAGGGAGGATGCTTGTTGAAATACAGAGCTTGATTTGAGCCCTCCACATTTTGGAGGAGGATTAGTGCTGGCACCAGCTTTTTATGGGTGACTTTTATGCATCCATTGTGCTACCAGGGGAGGCTTTAACAGCCGGGTCTGATGAACGCTCCAGTAATTACCCCCCCCCCCCCCCCCCCACACCTCCCCCCCCCCCCCCCCCCCAAAAAAAAAACCCACCCCGTTAACAAAATGACAACGTCAAAGCATCTCCAGCGTATTTTTAGAAATATGTATCGCCGTTTCAGTATCCACGCGCAGTGGCAGAGGCAGCGGCCTCCGTGGGGGGTTGCCATTTTAATACTTCCCAGCAGGGCGCCTATTTTGATGATGCAGATTAGGACTGGAAGAGGAGGCTTAGCCAGAAAGTATAGGGAAAGTATCGGGGACCAGGAACATTAAAGAGGGTTGTTAGGCAACGAGCGTGTGTGTGTCTGCGTCTAGCCTGCTTTTATTTAGCAGGGAAGTTAAGAAAACCCTAGCTCGCTCTTTGAAGCCTGACTCCAAGCCCCCATTAGCCTGTCTCGAAGGGCAGAGCCCCCTTTCCTGGCTTTCGGGATGCTTGTCCTGTGCTCGCTCTTCTCCTCCCAGTCTGCCCTGGAAGCCTGCCCAGGTGCCCGGCGCTGCGCTGCAGGTGGAAGTGCAGCCGCCCTGGTGCCTGGTGCTGCCCTTGCAGCTCGGCCTGCCCTCCCTACCCACGTCGGGCTCCGGTACCCGGCGGAGCCCCCCTGCCAGGCAGCCCCGGAGCAGCAGGGAGGTGGGGGGTGCCCAGGCAGGGCAGGTGCCCCAGCCTCCCTGGGCGGCTCGGGCAGCTAACAAAGGGCTGGCGGCCACCAATCGCCGGCTGGCCCGCCGCCCCCCCCCCCGCCC